TAACCATCAAGACGCCTGCCATTTGATATAAATAAATTATATCGTTTCTTTAATACAACCACTTCGACCATATAAAGTAATCTTAAAGTTACACAAATTATTTGGTCGATGATATTATGATTGTTAGTTTAGGTAGTTGTGAACACCAAATCGACGAAATTAGGCGAATGTCGTAAAACTTATTACACGAAATTCCTAGGTCATTGATTATCAAACGATCTGTTATTGGCAATAATTAGTGCCAACCTTGATAGAACTACGCAATTCCAAGTTGTCAGAAGATGGGTTAATATAAATCCTACCACGCAGATTTCATAAAAAAACAGAGAGAAATTCATTAAAAGCAGAAACTCTAATTAAACCATAATGTACAAACTTCGAAAGAGTGGTTGGAAAAAATATTGACGCATAACAAGTATGAGTTCAATGAAGTCTTGGGATTTTCCAACTTATTAGTGAAAAATACGGCGGCTAGGTGGCTGAGGATTTGCAAATACGCCGTGAAAGTTTTAAAGAGGAGAATGACTCTCTCTCTCCCTCTCTTCCAAACACCCCCTTGCCAAAACTAATTAAATCACGTGAATAGGACTGGGGATTGAGTTGGAAGACTAATACCCCTATCGTGGTCATATATATACCTGCGAATGACGTCTTTTCAGCCAATCAGCAGCGCAAAACGCAACTACGAGTGAAGAGTTTTGCATACTTGAGAAATTAAAATTAAATCATTGCCTGAGTTATTGGGCGTTCCACCTTCATTCCGCCGGATCTGCAGTAGGCTTAACAATACCGAAACAACAGGGCAGATTAGTATAGACACGACATTTAATTAAATTTTCTACTGGAACTTACTCAAATGTCACATAGCTTTCAAAGTACGTTAAAAACTGGAACTGATATAAACAGATTTTAGGACATCCTAACCAATCAATCAATTAATCAAAGAATAGAAACGATAAATAGTAGAATTGATTTAAAAATACGAAGGAATGGATTGATGTATGAAGTTTATTGGCCCATTTCCGCCATAGGTTTCAACTATTTCTAACCCAGATATTCATCAAAATAAACGCACCCACCACACCCGGATGGAAGGACGAAAAGTGGGCTCTTTAGGAAGGAGCAAACGAATCAACCCCCCCCCCGTGAGTACCTTCAAATAATAATGAGTCACAACCACTGAATAGCGGATAATTTAATTAAAAATCGAAAATCCGACTCAACAATCAACAACTGCCCCCCCCCCCATTCCACGTGTTTACTTCACGTGACGAGGATCCAAATAGGGTCGAGGAATTCTTTTTGAAGGTGAACGCCGCAGAAGTCACGCAGGTGCAAGAAATGAGTACCCTAAATGAATAAATACTGGCGCGAATAGCCAGCATGCTGATCCATTCTTCTCGATCTTAATCAACATAAACATAACTGTGTAAATGGTCACAAAAACAGCAGCGGTAGTAGGACACATTTGATTCGTTGGCTCTCTCTTTCTCTCTGAAAGTCAACGCTTATTTTGCCTATACACTCTGTGCAGTCATTCTGATTCAAAGTTTACAAAGTAGTTTAAGCATGTCGATAAAAAGAAAAAAGACATGCATTTAGGCTCTAATTCTAGTCTCTGTTTAAACAGGACCTGTTGGTTGCATACCCTCCCCCCCGCACCCCTCCAAAAGGTAGATCAAACTAGCTCTAGATTTACTGTGAATGTAAAACACTCCTTCCATAGTTAACCAATATCAAAGGTTCATTGAAGGCGCACAACCAAGATGAAACCAGCCTCAAAGTCGGCAGAACAATAAAAAGAGCGCAATGGACACCCTAGCTGTTTCATCATGATAGACAAGAACAGTAGAAGGTAGGATATATCAGTGAGAATGAGAAACCAAATTTGATTATTCAAAGTCTACTTAAATCAAAGTGGCGTAAGAAGTCAATGGGCAAACAGCGGGGGAAGCGATTCTCGATAGGAATGGCGTTGTTTCACCTTTCAGACACAACAGAAGAGAGAACGGCAATAGTAGCCACTATTGCATAGATTTACACATTTTTTTACATCTTTCAACAAGATAAAGGAAGGAAGAGATGTTGTTTTCATGCATGTACAATTGTGGAGCATGTTTGCCAAGCCGATGAAATGCGCTGTAATCACCCGTGTTAATCAATCCAAAATAAATTCAAATATTAAAATTATCACATGTGCTTAGGGATGCCCCCATTCGACTTTAGTTCACTTCAATAACACCACGTGGAAGTACAAAAATCCTTAACGATCTGGCTTATCGAAGGTGGATGCCGTTGAAATCTAGAGGTTTGGGGGTCAAGAGAAATCAGATTTTTATCTCTTCTGCTTGATGTAAACAGTAGCGATGCTGAATTTAAAACCTACCATCCATTAAAGAAGTACTTACTCATTAGCACTATTTAAAGTAACTCAAGCCAGCTTTAGACTCAGAGAATAAGAGAAATACGAAAACAATAAAAGGACAAGCATGAAGGCAGCGTTATCTATTAGAATGCAATTATTCAACTATATCGAAAGCATCAAGATCCCCTTTTGACTCAAAAGCAAGATGAAACAGACTGCACTCTCATTTAACTAGCCTGTACAAACTAATAATTATTTATTTTGACGACAACTGTAATACCCACAAATTGAAACAATTTAAATGCGAAGGAAAATGTTAACTAAGTGGAATATTCCAAGACCATCAGAGAGTGAACTACCTCAACAAATCCGTCTGAGACTGTTTCTCCTTCTTGGGAGATGATTGATTGTCAGGAGAACGACCACAGAGAAGACATGTCATGGAAGGAGAGGTGAGAGTAGAAGAGGAAGAATCGGAGGAGAGTGGAAAAGGTACCTGAACCTCTTGATCATGAGTGGAGACACCAGATGCCTCCATCTCAAGAGATGATTTGCACTCGCTTGAATCGTTCTCAGAGCCATTGCGAGATTTGGATACTTTGCAGGGGGAGAATTGCTATAAGATTAAATGCGATATTTATAAACATTAAGCAGCCAATCTGCTCAAGTTAGGCCAATTCTAATAGGATTGAGAGATAATTCTGCCAAAATATGTTGAAAAGTTGTCGGTTGATGCATTAATTCAAAGAATATCCAAACACCTGCTTTCTCAACAGTAAACGCTTGGATTGACCACTAAAACCGCCTTTAGTTATAACCCCAAAAGTGAAAATTAAGCCAATTACCATATTGGTTAAGTTTTACCTTAAAAAAAACTCTTGGCGTATTCTGGCTAGGATGGTAAGCGCTCAAAGCCAAGTTTATCTCCGTAGAAAAGACCAGCAATGTTTTCTTTCTTTTTATCACTTAAAGCGATAATGCCCATGACGAGACTAACTCCACCCTACCTGTAAATTCAATACGAATATTACTTGCCTACGTCTTGGGTGTTTCTGGAATTAAGCCACATTTGACAAATAATGTGCGCGCACACACGATAGGAGATTACTTGCAAATGCCGTGGGATTTTATCAAAAGGTGCACACACACACACACACACCCCACCCTCGATGGGATTCTTGGGAGTTTAAGAAAGGGAGAGAGAGGAGTTAGCCCATAACCACCACTTTGCACGAAAAAAAGCGTCATTTTCAACATCACCTGGAGAAAACATCACAAGGCTTTACGAACATTTTGTTATACACATGTGATCTGATTTACCGATAGGTCTATAACCGCTTATGCTAAAGATAACAGACATTTACTGTTTATAATAACATCCGTTTTGATTACTTCTACCGAGTCAATCGGATTTAGTAGCAGCTAATGATATTGGCGTGCTAAATCAATTTCATGACGTGAAGTTAACACAAGTAAATATTCACATGACCTTGGAGAAAGAACCAATACAATTTGAAGCCTCATATATAATATTTAAACCGCCCAATAGGGAGGCTCCACGTAAGTTTTTTGCAAAATATAAATGAGAAGTGGATTGCAATTTCTTCCGAATTTTTTGAAAATAAGAACTAACTTTCCCGTGAATTATTTAGCATTTAACTCATGGCTGTCGGCCCACAATTCGTGTGGAGTTTACGACAGAAACTCTCAATCTGAGTAGGGTGTAAATGGCTGCAGATTGAGTCTGAGTAACTGTAGCTAACAGAGGCAAAGAACTATACGTTGACACACTGCAGCGAGGCTGAATAAAACCCAAAAATCGGCACTTTGAGGGGTAAACATAAAGAAGAGATACTCTCAACTGGAGATTTAGATTTGATAAAAAAAAGCAGAGGTACTCACCTTGCTACCCTTGAGAGCAGAAAAATCACCGGAGAAAAGAGTTGTTTTCGGAAAAGCAGCCACAATGGCTTCCAGCGGTCCCACAGAATTCGGCACATGGAGGGACATTTTCTTCCCTCCAGATTTCCCACCACAACAGTTGCCCTCCACTTCCTCTTCTGCTGTAGTGCCTACTTCCAATGTCAGAGCCTTTGAGAGTGCCTTGAAGCTAATTGGTATGACAGACTTCTTTCGAGGCACAGTTGCGGCAACAGTAGCCTGATCTTGATCCGATGTGTAGCCCGATTTTGTTGAACGGCTGGAGGCGCTGCGGCGTTCAGTGGAGGTGGAGGAGCTGCTGTTTGAGAAAATTGGAAGGGAACCTTGAGGCGTTTGAGGTTGTAGTGGGGTGTCAATCTTGATTGGGGGTTCCAAGTTGAGAGACACTTTGTAGTTGGCATCTTCGAGGAACTTCTGCAGCTCTTCAATGTAGGATTGGGCTAGGAGGTAGGCACGAATGCTCTCATTCGTTTGGTAGGCTAAAAATAAGGCGAATGGAAAATGAGAACACACCCAAGCACAATATCCATCATGGGAAATGTTCACAACACCTGGCTTGAATCAAGGGAAGACATTCTGGAGTCACTCTCATGAGTAACTTGCATTCGAATACACTGGTTGTTGACCAGATATATCCAACGCAGTTGGCCACTGAGGCAACTTGACATGCTCCGATGAAAATCTATCTCAACATCTCTGAGACTTGTTTGGAGTACAGAACATACAGAAAAAATGACCAATTTCGTAGTATGACAGTAATGAGAGAGGATTGAATTTTAAATACCAACGCATTTATCTGCTGCTTTCTAAGAAAAAAAGGCACAAGACGATACAAGCCCACAAACTAAGACTATCTCTACCGTAAACACTTTGGGGCACAAAGTTATTATATCAAATGGCAGGTGTCTTGATGGTTATCATTAGCCCCTTAGTTGCCTTCAGGCCTCACAGAGAGGAAGGTACATCAAAGTGAAAAAAAGTCGAGAGGGGAGGGGGAACAGTAGAGTGCTTCAAAGATGTAAAAGAGGCAAACACATAGGTAGAAAAAAGGTGAGGTGAGTACTGTGGAAGAAGTCGAATATGACATAGTGAGGTGATGGTAGCTTGAAGTGAGAAGTCAACTGCCAGTTAATAGGACTTTTTGGCCGTATGAACATACGTTGTCTAGGGTGCACCACGTGAAGGTAAGTCTATCGGAAACGATAGCCGAGAAGAGGGACTGTAGTAAAAGAGAAATTGAACACTGGTGCCCGCCATCTTGAAAAGTAACACAAACTTTCACAATTCAAAGTGCTGTAGAATTAGTGTAAGTGATAAAATACTTGGCAAACTTTCCATTGAGGAGTCTGCACATTTAGGTACAATCCCAACTCAATCGTTATGTACCAACTTGCATTTAGAAAATTGCAGTTTAAACAAATCACAAGCTATTAGAAAATTCACTTTTCCCAAAACCCCATTAAAACTGGTTTTTTTGAAAAGAAGTTTGAAATGACTGCGATAGTCGGCTAAGTTGATTTATTAGAGTAGTTCAAAACTCATGATTAATTAGAAAAAAAACAGGAAATAAGGTATTCGCGCCGGAACTTCAATAAGTGGACAAAGTTTTTTAGTAGTTACTCTCGAGGAAATTGCGCCAAAAAGCCAATGGAGACTAACAAATCAATCATCCCAAAAAAACAGGGAACTCGTTTTCACTAACAAAGGCCAATCAAAAAATAAATAATGGAAGACGAAGAAAGTAGGAAAACCGGGAATTCAAATTCTAACCCCAGCAAACCTACAGATAATATGAATATTTGACTACGGATCTGACTTGAAACAACATTAATCCCTCGAGATGCCACAAGATAGCAAATCCTATTAGATTAATTAATCAATAACAATCAACACCAAAGGGCGTTATGATGTGATCGTCTAGAGCTCAGAGAGGGAGAGAGAGAGACCTAAACAATCCACTGGGGGGGGG